CAGTTGATAGTTGAAAGAACTGTGACGTTGTGTACCTTGACTTCAGCAAAGTTTTTGACACAGTGCCACATGAAAGACTGATTGAAAAAGAGGCTCACGGTTTTTGGGTGCTATATTAAGGTGAATTAGAGCATGGCTATACCAAAGGAAACATTGTATCAATGGGGTTAAGTCAGAGTGGGAAAATGTTGTAAGTGGAGTGCCTCAAGGCCCCGTCCTCGGCCCCCACATATATAAATGATTTAAGTTCATACTTGAGCAGAAATATTTGCATACGTGCAGAAGATACGACATTTGGGCAGAACAGAAATTCAGAAGAAGACTCAAAATCACTTCAAGGCAATCTAGATAAGGTTTTGAAACGGTCGAAAGAGTGGCAGATGCAGTTTAATGTTGACAAGTGTAAGGTTCTGTGACTAAGACCATCCTGGACGGTGTTGAGATTGCGAAAAAAGATCTGGGCGTCATAATTAGTAAGAATTTAAAACCAAACGTCAATACATAACTGTTCAAAATAAGGCAAATAGGACACTGGGATTGATTTCTAGAAGCGTTCTAGAAAATAAAACACCTGGTGTTATTCTTCAGATATATAATGATCTTGTTAGGCCCCATTTAGATTATACAGTTCATACAGTTTAGTTTATACCGTTCTGAGTGGGATTGGGTGGTTATAAATAGGAGCTGCCTCGTATGGGCCAATAGGTCTTCTGCAGTTACCTTTGTTCATATGTTCTTATGGTGTGGTCACCATACTTAAAATGGACATAAACACACTATAACGCGTTCACCGAAGAATGACGAAACAATGTTAAGAAAATCGATAAGTTTAGATTTAGGAAAATCCTGGGTAAATACTGATTTGGAAACAGGGTTGGTGATTTATGGAACAGATACTAGTTAACGTAGTAGACGTAGGATCCCTTGATTGTTTCAAGCGTAGGTTAGACAAATATGAATGAGATTGGGTGGATATAAATAGGAGCTGCCTCGTATGGGCCAACACGGGAGACATCTCCCGTCACGCAGGGTGCAGTCGCGCCTCCACAGATCTCCAGTATCAGCTCTTGGTACTGGTAATGGCTCAAAAGGGCCACCACTTACGGGCTATTCATGCCCGTGCCACCTTTTGGGTGGCTTAATCTTTATCAATCTATGGGCCAATAGGCCTTCTGCAGTTTCCTTGATTGTTATGCTGTTTAGCTTGCAGAAGTTTTTAAGTGCTTAAGGAGCAGACTTTGAATCACAACAAATTATTCCTTCTGTGTTTTTCAGTGGACTGGTAGCTAGTTGTAGAGCTGCTAATTGTTTAACCTGACTCTGTATGCAAGTATTATTTCTGCAAAACCTGTTAACATTTTTATAAATTTTGTTAGAATTTACCTACTAAATATTATCTGTTAAATTAAGGACTTGCCCGAAACGCTGCGCGTACTAGTGGCTTTACAAGAATGTAAACACATCATGCTATGTACTCTCATAAACCCAATGTACCTTCTTATATATATATATATATATATATATATATATATATATATATATATATATATATTTATATATATATATATATATATATATATATATATTCCAGCCAGAGGTGGTACTCCCTTCCAATAAATAAATAAATAAATTAACACAGTCAGTATGGATAACTCTACGGGAATCGCAACCATTGTTTCACGCACACCGCTGTCCTTCCTATGTTTCAAAGAAGCAAATTCTTAAGTTCTCATTTCATATATCATTATTGAGCGTCTTATAAATATATTTTTAACATTATTAAATGAACAAATCCACAAGGGCCGTGACGAGGATTCGAATCTACGTTAACATTATTATTTAGAGTTTAAGTGAAATACAGGAACACACATGAAATTATGAAATCAGAAAGTGAAAGAATATTTGAGAATCATAATTATTTGGGATCTTAGGATTAAACAAAAATCAATGCATTAATGTGGGGAATAACACAACTATGATACTGGGAGACATTTATTGAAGTGTTAGAAATCCAGCAACGCGCACGGAAATTCACTCTAAGCTGCTCTAGTGATTTTCACACCTGAATGACTAATGAAGCCACCCAAAAAATGGCACGGGCATGAATAACCCGTAATTTCACATCTAATAATATTCATCCGTAGATTGCCTTTGTTAGGCTTCATTTATATTACACAGTTTAGCTTTGGTTCGCCCAACCACTTGGGCTGGACGGTAGAGCGACGGTCTCGCTTCATGCTGGTCGGGGTTCAATCCCCGACCGTTCCAAGTGGTTGGACACCATTCCTTCCCTCCCCGTCTCATCCCAAATCCTTATCCTGATCCCTTCCCAATGCTATGGGAAGGGATCAAGTCGTCATGGTTTGGCGCTTTCCCAACAATTCCCTTCCCCTTAGCGTTGGTTCCATACTATAGAATAAACGCAAATTCACTTGGCCTGATTGATCGTGTACCCTTGGGAAGATATATTAATTGTAAACAGTGGACCTAGGATAAATGTAGAACTTCCTGGCAAGTGGAGTTCCTTAGGAATAAGTTAAGTAAAATTAACAGGCACTTTTAATTATCTGCATTGACGCTGATGAGAATATGGAGCAAGTATATTACCTCGTAATATACTTGCTACAAATGTCTTCAGAGAAGGAATATATAACCCTAGGAATTAGAAACCTTCCTCATGAAGAGAGATATTAAAGCAAGCTTAATTAATTTACGTTCTCTAGAAGGACGAAGAGTAAAGAGAGACAAGACTGAACTATATCAATGGATGAAAAGGTAAAACGGTGTTAAATTTTTTTTTTTTTTTTTTTTTTTTTGAGATATATACAAGTTGTTACATTCTTGTACAGCCACTAGTACGCGTAGCGTACAACAAATCAAATCGTACAAATACATCAACACGAAACAATTGATATACATTACTTAAGTTTAGATTCAAGAAAGACCTGGGTAAATACTGGTTTGGCGATAGTTTTGTAGATTCATGGAACGATATTTGGAAATGATATTTGCGGAGGTAAGAGTAAGTTGTTGAACAAATACAAAGTAACGGTAGACATGATTACGGATAAGGGGGTCCGGTCATGGGTGGTGTTGAGTCAAGGTTGAGTGAGTCGGCAGAGGGCGCGTGTTACCGCATGAGTAATGCAATAACATTGATGAATAACCTGGTCTCTTATATTGACAAGGGATAGGAGGGGGGGGGGGGTACCTTCAGCAGACTCGCATGAAAAGAAAGTGATGATGTTCCGTCAGCCCTGGACCCTTATCAAGTCACAACTGTTTAGACTTGATAAGGGTCCAAGAGGAACCCACAGGCGGTCACATAAGGGTCCAGGACGGATAAGTCTGTTGTGTACTGGGCTCCTGTCCAAAAACTGAGGAGTTTAGGATATCAACAACCTTTAACCTTCCATTGTATCCACCAACATGTATCTTGTAACCTTTAAAATGTCAAATAAAACGTAACCCGAAAGGGGGTAGCAGGACAAAAGGACATACAGACAGAGAAAATTGATTGATTGATGAAGATTAAGCCACCCAAGAGGTGGCACAGGCATGAATAGCCCGTAAGACAATGAAAACATGGGTTTAGGATTTAATACTCCACTACACCCGAGTAGATTAAGATTATAATCAAAATATAAAAAACTGGAAGTGACATTAAGGTGTTCCCTAATTCTTGGAACATATTACACATTCCAAGTGTTTATTATGGATTATAATGAATACCTCAGCGTTGGCACGATCACAGCTCGTTAAACGACAAAATTACGTTCCTAAGAAACAAATTTGAAGAAAAAGTCGTTAAATAAAGAATTTGTTTACACCATATTATAGCACATTTGTATAAAATTAGTTTTTATTGCTTCATAACTGAAGATACACCTTTCATACTCAATGGGAAAATATTTTAATAATAGTCATACAAGACACAACGTAAAGAATACTTAAAATACGTCCCTCCCTCTCATATACACACACATAGGTGTGTGTATATATATATATATATATATATATATATATATATATATATATATATATATATATATATATATATATATATATATATATATAAAGATCGCATGCGGGTGAAGCACCAAGTGCGCAGGTTTAAGGTCAGAGGGTCTTGAAGAAAAGGGCATCCTTCTCATCCTTCCCCCCGTCCGTCTCCTCCTCATCATTCTCCCTGTCTCCTCCTCATCCTTCCCCCCGTCCCCTCCTCATCCTTCCCCCGTCTCCTCATCCGTCCGGCTATCTCCCCCATCCTTCTCTAAGACCAGAACACTCGCCAGCTTCCTCATCAAGCATATTTCTGTAGCAGCGGTTAATGAGATGCAAGAATTAGCATGAGTGCGGAGACGTGGACAGGGGAATCATCCTCGGCCTCAAGACTGGCTGAAATTCATGATATATCAACTCTGCCCGTCTCTGAAGGAGAGCGAATAGACATGACAGCCACCACTTTGTTGTTCATGATAGCTCAGTGGCGTGCAGAAACGCACGTAATGTGATTCCTTCCCCGTACCTCTCGATATTTCCCTTGTTACATTATTCCTCCAAATCTCATTAGTATTTTAGCCCAAGATATCATAGAACGCGCCAGAGTGCGCCTGGAAGGAATGTAGAGCGAGGTAGGAGTAAGTTTATAAAGCGTTGTAACTTTGGTGGCATTAAGAGTCTGCGGTCCCCAGACCAAGAATTTCAATCCTTCGCACAAAGTTGTCTCTATCAGTGGCGAGGCTTTTCCACACGGCTCGCCCCCTTTCTCCCCGACCAGTCACCTCCTACCAACCCTAGTCACCCCTTAATTATTCTTATTCTACCATATACCTCCACGAAACAACGCTATTCTTGCAGGCAAACGCATCTAATACGAGTTTTATTGACTAATGAAGCCGTTTGGGGGTAAAACGTTGGCATAAAAGTTGAATATAATAAGAAGTAGAGGGGTGAGCGGTGAGGAGCGAGTGGCAGCACTGGTGGGTGGTGGCGCATGCGCATTAACCTCCCGCCTTCCTCACTAGAACAGGTTGGTGGAGAGTAAAATGTAAAATTATATTTTAGTGCCTTTATCGAATTTATTCGACGTGATATTTGAATCAAGTTGATGCTACAAGACACGTATCGTAAGTTGACGGCCTCGTTGGGAGGTAGTTTGGCTCAGTTATGGGTTAAAGGGAGTGGGAAGTGTAGGTGGTGGTTAAGAGAGGTTTTACACGGAGAACAACAAACAGTTCAGGATGCGAGCGTGTGATTACTCCACAAGATTTTATTCTCCACGCCCAGTCCTCACCTCTCAGTCCTCCCCCCTCACCTCCTCGCTTGCCCATTTGACGCCACACGTTCAGATTTCCCCATGAAAGGCCAATTGGAGGTGTTCGGAGAGGAATTATAGCGAAAACCGTTGGAAATGGACGTATTTGAAGGGATTTGCCAGGTTTCTACGAAGCCTGGGTTTCTGAGGCGTTTGTGGTGTCTTGTGAGGCAACCTGCTGCTCCTGCCCTCTCTTTCTGCCCCTAGACCTACCTCCTTCACACCCTACCCCCCTCTGGACACCGATATTGGCCGCTCTTAACACAGTCCCGATTGACTAGTTACGTATTAATGAGGAAACATCAGCTGACTCTTGGGGGCTTGTTGGTTATGGGTCAAACTCTGGGCCAGATTGTAGGGTCGTACACTGAGGCTTTTGTTGTTTCATATTTACTGTGTGTGTGTGTGTGTGTGTGTGTGAGAGGGTGGGCAGGTGTGAGGTGTGCGTGTCTTAAGATGTTGTGGCAAGACATGGAGGTGACCTAATTATATACATATGTTCTCAAGAGGTGAGGGTGCCCTACTTTTATCATGGCTTTGAAGTGCAGTTGGTGTTTTGTTCCGTTAGTTTGTCCCGTTGGTTAGCTTTTTGGAGTGTTGGGCAGCATTTTTGTTCCGTTGGCCAGGGTTTGTCGATTAGTTTGTCCCATTTTCTGGCATTTGTTCGTAGTTGGTAAGTATTTTTGTTCCATTGGCCAGTATTTGTCCATTAGTTTGTCTCATTGACAAGCAATTCTCAGTAGCCAGCATTTTTGCCAAGTGGCAAGTATGTTATTCAATTGACTGACTAAAATTTGTTTCCATTAGTTTGTTCCAGTGGCCATCATATTGTTCCATTTGTCAGACCTTGACTAGCTATGACATTATACTTTGCATTTGTCAGACCTTGACTAGCTATGACATTATACTTTGCTTATGACAATATACCTAGGCCTATGCGAGGTATCCATTCAATGTCATAATTTTTTTTTACTGTTAATGAACATGGTACACTTGTGAGACTGCCGTAGGATTTGGCACGAGTGTTCCCATGACAGCGATTTTGTTTTATTTATCGTATATGTATTGATAAAAACATATTTACATTTACTAGCTGACACGTGGGGCCTGAGGGCTGAGTGGACAGCGCTCGGGATTCATAGACCTAAGGGTCTGGGGATCGATCCCCGGCGGAGGCAGAAACAAATGGGCAGTTTCTTTCACCCTGATGCACCTGTTCACCTAGCAGTAAATAGGTTCCTGGGAGTTAAATAGCTGATATGGGCTGCCTCCTGGGAGGGGGGGGGAGGTGAGAAAAAATAAGTTGAGAGGCAGACCCAAAGAGCCAGAGCTCAAGCCCCGTAAGCACAACTAGGTGAGTACATTGCAAGTGCTCTCGCTGGAAGAAATTAGGGATACTGCATAATAATAATTTTTATTTAAAAATTATACAATAGAAAATGATGCAGAGTTTAATTAGTCATTACAGAAGCCACTGATAGACAATGGTTACCTATTTGTGACTACAAGGGAGTGAGATTTAGCTCTTCATTCCCTCCCTCCCCCCCCCCTAGCCATTTATATGTGGCAAAATAATTACTCCTCTCAATATTATGTTCAGTCACCTGTAGCCTAGGCACTAACGAGTTGTGTGGACTTTTTTTTTAATGTGTATAACATTCATATGACAGGTGGTACTTAAAAATAAATTTTGAATAAGTACAGGAAAAATCAACATTTTTATGTCCCTTACAGTGCTAAGCGCATTAACAAACATGAGTGCTGAAGCTACTTATTTTACACATTTCTTACATTATATATCTTTATTATTCTTATGCCTGTATATTTTGCAGTTAATCATATCATATTTAATTTTTCTCCCTTCAAATAGAGTGCCTTCACCCTCATATGTTAATTCCTATATTGTTTACTGTGTTTTCTCAAATGATTTTATCTTGGGTAATACTCCAAATTAGCTTCTTGAAAAATAATTCCTAATTCATTGTGTTGGGGGACAGGTAGCCAGTTTATACATACAGTACATGTTAGGCTTATGCTGAGGTCTCCCCTAGGGTCAAAATACTGACCCTCCCCAGGATGCAACCCCACAATAAGCTGACTAACTCTTGGGTACCAATTTACTGTTAAGTGAACAGGTGCATTAGGTGATAGGAAACTCGCCCAACCATTTCTGTTCTGACCGG